CAAAGGGATCCAGGGGCAGCCACAGCTTCTCTGGGCACCCTGTGCCAGGGCCTGCCCACCCTCACAGCCAGGAATTCCCTCCCAATATTCCATCTGTCTCTGCCCTCCCTCTGCTCAAGGCCTTTGTGAAAGACCATTTTAAATTTTTGGTACCTCYGAAAGCAAGCAGGACATCCAGGAGAGCTGCAGGGACAAGCAGCCTAAGAACATTCAGATACCTTTTTAAAATCCTTCTTGGTTTCTTACTTCACCTCTAGTCTCCAACAAAACAAAGCTTCATGAAAGAAGCAGTGTTTTTATGCTTATTATTTCTTGTACTCGAGTGGCACCTCCCTGCTAGGACTGAGTAGGGGAGGAGAAGGAAAACTTTAATACCTGAAGAATGTGAGGCCTCCCAGTTCTCCTTGGCTCAGGGATAAAGAAAGAAGAACAAGGATCCAAATGCACACACAGTAAAACCCATCTCTCTGTGCTGACCCATTTGACAGACAAGGAAGAATTTAAGCCCAAATTCTCAATTCTTTTCCACCGAACAGAAACCAACAACTCCTGGGCCATTTTCTGCCTCCCAAGTCCATTTCTGTAGTGATAAATTCAACCTCAGAGCCCCCAAATCCCAGAGGAGAGGAGTGTCCATACCCAGGAAAGCACACCCTGCACTCCTGCAAGCCTCAGCTATTCCTTCTCTGATTGTTTCCAWCACTTCAGCATCGAGTTTGCCGCAGGCCAAGTGACTGAGGAAGAAGAGGGGCTCGGCTCCCTGGGCCAGGAGGTCRTTGATACACAGGGCYACCAGGTCCTGCCCGATGGTGTCGTGTCTTTTACAGACCTGGGCCACCTGCAAAACATGGGAACGAGAAACAGGGAAAACTCACTTATTCATTAATCAGTGAAATCAGCAACCTTCTTCTCTCTGAAGAGAATCATGGTGAGACTTTGATGGAAGACAGAACCTTGTACATTATCTAGTTCAAATGAAGAGAAAACAGCTTATTTTTTTTCAGAGGAAAAAAAAAAGTAGAAAAATATATTTTCCTTTTTCCTTTTGGAACATTAGTTCAAATTCCAGCTACATCTACACAGAATGTGCAATTTTGGGTGAGGGTTTTGTTTGCTCTTTGGAATATTACCATAGAATCATGGGATGGGTTGGGTTGTGAGGGACCCTAAATCCCACCCAGTGGGACACCTTCCACTGTCCCAAGCTGCTCCCAACCCCAATGTCCAGCCTGGCCTTGGGCACTCAAAGGGATCCAGGGGCAGCCACAGCTTCTCTGGGCACCCTGTGCCAGGGCCTGCCCACCCTCCCAGGGAACAATTCCTGCCCCATATCCCATCTGGCCCTGCCCCCTGGCACTGGGAAGCCATTCCCTGCCTCCTGTCCCTGCAGCCCTTGTCCCCAGTCCCTCTCCAGCTCTCCTGGAGCCCCTTTAGGCTCTGGAAGGTGTTTGATAAAGCATGAACATTTCCCTCAGGGATGCTGCTGTTTGATTTTATAAGTCCTCAAGATGTGTGTATTTCACAGGTAATCAAACCTGGGTCAGATGTTGTGGCTCCCATAAAGTGCTGACATTTCCAGCTCTCAGGGACACCCCAGAGCATCCTACTCAGCTCATGGGGCTGCAATGGGACAAAGATTGCACAGGGATCATGGAATTATAAAATTATTTACTGTGCAAAAGACCTTTAAGATTTTCAATGGACAAATTTTCAAGAAGGTGCCTTTTACTGACAGTTCCACCTGTGCAGAAAAGCCCAGGCCAGAGGGATGGGCAAGGGGAGAAGGTGGATAAATATCACTGCATTCCAAATGGTGAGGGAGCAGCACCCAACCCAGCCTGGCCTTGGATAAGCCCTGGCTGCTGGATTTTGGAGTGCTGTGCAAACCAGCATCCCATGGCCTTTGCTGCATGACAGCACCTCCCTCCCACCATGCCCAGAACAATCCGGGCAGGCATCAGCCAACTGTCCCTTGGCCAAGGAAGAACCTTGGGAACAGTCTGTGGAAACACAGTTGGGAATGTCTCTGTGCCCAGCAGTTGGAACAAAGGCTCACAAGGGCCAGCACCAATCCCTTTGTCATGCTTAAGGCTGTCCAAGGATGTAAGGCTGCAAGAGACCTTTGGGATGGTTCCACTCAGTCTCCTGCTGTTTATTATCCTGGCACTAAAGTAGGAACACCACTTTGAAATAAGTGACTTTGCTGTGCTTGACAGTGAAAGGAGACTCAGATCTCCCCTCTCCTGGTGGCTGAAAACCTCCTGATTTAATATAGAAATAAATCCCTGGGTCAGCTTATCCTGATTCAGTGCATAAATATATCACTCGATTTATCCAGTGTGTTCTCAGATAATTAAAATTCTTTCTCTCTTGGCTTTTGTTCTTGTTTAATGCTTATTTCCTCCATCCTTCCTTTCCCCAGTGCTCTGACAGAGGTACCTGTGCTCCCTCTCCACCCACAGTTTGTCAGGCTGAATCTGCCAGTTCCCATTTCAGCACATCCCTGGGCTCCTACAAACAGATCTTTCTCAAAGCCAATGGACCTCTATTTTATGGCAAAATTTCTGGCTCTTAATGCTCAAGCGTTCTACTGAATTCTTGGTTCCTTATCACTTCATCACAAAATATCCACATTCTCAACAGAATGTGCCCAGCCCTTGCTCAAATGGCCATTTACAAAGCTGAGGTGCTCACTGCAGTGGACTCAGTGGTGTCTGTGGAGCTCAGGAGGTGCTCACAGATGGAGGGACTGGCTGGGCCACTAAAACAGCCCTGTCAGGTGACATCGGCTTTGCTGCCGCTCACCTGCAGTTTGGGTCCCAGTCCCTTGGTCTGAGACACCAGGATGGGATCATCGTACCCAGACGCCTTCAGGTCAAAGAAAGCAGCAAAGCCTCCTCCTTCTGAGCGGCCTCCTGCCAAGAACAAACATGGCACGGAACAGATTGACGGGAAATAACAAACCCCAAAACTCTCACCGAGACAAGAACTGCAAATTATCCCAGAATCCCTAAAGCTGGAAAAGCCCTCCCAGCCCATGGAGTGCCAGCTGTGCCCGATGCCCACCTTGTCCACAGCCCAGAGCACTCAGTGCCACCTCCAGCCCTTCCTGGGACACCTCCAGGGATGGGGACTCCAAAGCTCCCTGGGCAGCCCCTGCCAAGGCCTGAGCACCCTTTCCATGGGCAAATTCCTCCTGGTGTCCACCCTGAGCCTCCCCTGGCCCAGCCTGAGGCCGTTCCCTCTCCTCCTGTCCCTGTTCCCTGGGAGCAGAGCCCGACCCCCCTGGCTGCCCCCTCCCGTCAGGGAGTTGTGCAGAGCCACAGGGTCCCCCTGGAGCCTCCTTTGTTCCAGGGCTTTTATTACTAATTTTTTTTTAATTTCTGTTATTTCTATTCTTTTTTTTTTCTCCATTCTGCACTGTGAAGAAACACAATCACCTCATGGCAAGGCATGCATTTGTTAATTAATCATAAGAAGAGTCACAAGAAATAAATTAGTTTTCTGTCATTGTGCTGATCCCAGCCCAGGTTCCCAAGCTCAGTTTCAATGCCATGAGTGCACTGCCCACCTCCCTGGGAGAAAAGAMCTAAGATACYGAGGGAATTACCAGATTCTTCCCARTCCTACCTGCCCTGGTGCCTGTCACAGCTGATGTTTGTGGCATACTCCAAATGTCCCTGGTCACAGCTGCCACGTGTCTGTCCTTGTACATCAGGGCCCTGTGGAGAGGGAAGGAGGYGCTGGCAGCAGCAGTGACCCTTTCTGCAGGGCCCATCAGAGATGGCCCAGGTGTGAGGGGCAGGAGGGAACATCTGGGCTGGTCTGCCCTGCCAGGGCTCACGTACAGGGGCTGTTGGAGCAGCCGCAGGCCCCGCTGCCCGATGTCCCTCCTGAAGGTAGCYCCCTGGAAGTGGATGGTGGCCACGCCCCTGTTGGCCTCTCCCAGGGCTTCAATCAGATCTTGCTTGACGGCAGTGACGGACAAGACCCTGCCACCATTTGTCACCACCCTGCCATCCTTCAGCGCTGTGCCCCCATGGAACACCTGCAGCCCCAGCTCCTTGGCTTGCAGGAGCCCTGCAAAAGCAAAGGCAATTCTCTGAGGATTTGGAATCCCATTCTCTGTTGACAGAACCACAGGGTGAAGGTGGGAAGAGCCCTTCAGGATCATCCAGTGCTACCCCAGCAGCACCAGCATCACCCCCAACCCTGTCCCCAAGGGCCACAACCAGATATCGCTGGGACACTCCCAGASACAGGGACTCCACCCCTCCCCGGGCAGCTCATTCCAAGGCCTGACTACTCTGACAGGGAATAATTGTTTCTTCAATCTGACCCTCCCCTGGCGCAATTTGAGGCCATTTCCTCTCATCCTTTCCCTGCCTCCTCCTGTCAGGGAGTTGTGCAGAGCAATGAGATCCCGTCTGAACCTCCTCTGCTCCAGACTGAGCTCTCCCAGCTCCCTCAGCCACTCCTCCCAGGATGTTTTCCAGCCCCTTCCCAGCTCCGTTCCCTTCTGTGGACAAAACACTGAAGATTGAAGTCCTTTACTCAGTCAAGGGAGAACAAGAGAAGTTTTCACCTTTGCTTTCTTCTGAGAAACAGCATAAGCAGTGAAGGGCATCCCTCTGCACTGAGCCCTGGAATCTCTTCTGAGCCATCCAGTAAAGCATCATGGAATCCCAGAATGGTTTGGGCTGGGTGGGACCTTAAAGCCCATCCAGTGCCACCCCTGCCATGGCAGGGACACCTCCCACTGTCCCAGGCTGCTCCCAGCCCCAATGTCCAGCCTGGCCTTGGGCACTCAAAGGGATCCAGGGGCAGCCACAGCTTCTCT